CAAGTCTGCATCATCCTTCTTATAGAACTGTTGGCTCATCTGGTTCGAACTTAAATATGTTATGAACATTGGTAACAGTCCAGGGTCCACTCAGAGAGTCTGCTCTCTCCAAGTTCATAAGGAATAAAATGTCTATTGAAACTCACAGGGAGTCTACTGGTTTATTCAATCAGGATTACAGCAATTCAAAGACACAGCTCAGTTTTGTCTTTTATGTTTTGTAGAAGGAAGACTACCTCATCTCTCACATGTGATTGGATAGACACATAATATGCATTCATTATCCATATATATGCAGAGTATATGAAGTTTATTCGGAAACCAATGAACTTTATGTTTAGAAAGGGAGAATATATACATTATTTCATTTCAGACACTCTAATAATCTTTGTTACATGAGACATATAAAGACCAGTAAGTTCTTCCAAGGGTAGTGTTTATGCCATATATGCACATGTCATGTTCTAATCTCTGGAACTCTTTTAAAGGCATTGTCAATAAGCATTGCATTAGCATTCTGGCATAACCTGTTTCTTCCTTCTGTGTTTATGGAATGTCTGAGAGTAAAGAAGGGAACTGTTCCTTTCTTTCCAGCAGCTTCACTATGATGGGAAATGAGGGGATAACTATTCTTCACGTTGTCCTGGAGAGAGAGCTACTTCCTGGGCAAGAAAACTGTGTGTTAACCTCCTTAGAAGAGCACTGTGCTTTGCTTCATGCTCTACAACCACCATTTACAAATGCTTAGTAATTTATGAACAGAAGGCCCTGAATTTTTGTTTTGCACAGAGCTACAAATGATTTCCCTGTCCTATCTCAGTAACACTTGTTCTTCTTTGGCTCTGTTGCTTTGCCCTTGGCCTCCAAATCATACTCTGTCAACATATGTAATCTCTCTTCAAATCAAAAAATAAATAAGAACCTTTAAAAAAAACTAAATATTTTAAAACTCCATTTCTAATGAGCTATATCCATGGTAGTTTTTTGACTTACTGATTTGTGTGGTGGTAGTATTGGGATGTGAGTGTGGTGTGTGGGTGTGTGTATGTGTGGGTGTGGGTGTGTATATGTGTGTGCAAGAGAGAGAGAGAGAGAAAGGGAGGGAGGGAGAGAGAGAGAGAGAGAGAGAGAGAGAGAGAGAAGAGATGGTCCTGAGACTTGAACTCAAGGCTAGCAACATATTACTTGAACCACAGCTCTACTTCCAGCTTTTGGTGATTAATTGGAGACTTTCCTGTCTGGGCTGGTTTTGGATGCTGATTCTCAGATATCAGCTTCCTTAGTCTGATTATAGACATGAGCCACCAGCACTGGTGACTTACTGTTATTTTTTTTTCTTTTTTAGTTGTTTGTTTGTTTGTTTTCAGTTAGTGATGGGGCTTGGCTGTGGGGCTTGAACTCAGGGCCTGGACATTGTCCCTGAGCTCATTTGCCCAAGGCTAGTGCTCCATCACTTTGAACCACAATTTCACTTGCAGTTTTCTAGCCATTAATTGAAGATGTTTCTCATGGACTTTCTTGCCCCAGCTGGCTTTGAATGGTGATCCTTAGATCTCAGCCTCCTCAATAACTAGGGTTATAGGTGAGCCTGTAACAGGCTGTTTATTTATTTATTTATTTATTTTTGGGTCCGGTCGTGGGGCCCGAACTCTGGGCCTGGGCGCTGTCCCTCAGCTCTTCAGCTCAAGGCTAGCGCTCTACCACTTGAGCCACAGCGCCACTTCCGGCTTTTTTCTTTTTGCTTATGTGGTGCTGAGGAATCGAACTCAGGGCCTCAGGCATGCAAGGCAAGTGCTCTACCACTGAGCCACCTTCCCAGGCCTATTTATTTATTTTTTTAAAATAAACTAAGATAAGTATTCAAATAGATATCCAATAATGCAACTCTTACTTGAGTGGTCTCATTGATTGTGTTTTTTTAAAAATAAGTTAATAGTGCTGGCATTACTACTACTAAAAAAAATAAGCATGCTATTTGAATTCTGATTATTTGAAATTAAATTGGGGAAGAATTTAAATTAAAATATGTTCCCAAATTTTAGATTGAATTTATTTTGAATTATTATGCTAATAATTATGCCCAGGACTGAGAAATCTAGCTTGATGCTGTATGAACTGAGCCATTAACCTTAGAAACAAATTCTTTTGTCTCTGAGTATGATATTTTATCTGGAATGTATACAACTTAAAAATATGTCATTTTAAAAAAAGATCCATCAGCTCCCACCATGCTTATTAATGAGTTTTGGAATACAGCTTGAGCTTCATTGGTTCCAAACAGCATGGTTAATCTTATTGCAAAGGTTGAGAAGTCCTTTTGAGACCCCTCAATAAATGGTATTTCCATTTCTCTTAAATCCTTGGAGAAACCATGAGTGTTTCCCTCACTGCCTGATAAAGCTGGGCCTCCCACCTTACCCTTTCTCTTTATATGTACATATTGTGGCGGGAAATTCAAAGGGTCAGTGGGTGTTTCTTTGTTCTCATCCAAGCCCACAATTAGCTGCTGTGCCTCTGGGAGGGGAGGAGGAGGTAGAGGTGGCCCAATGGCCCTTTTACTGCCTGCAGAAAGTGCTCAGCCAGTTTCTTTGTCCTTTCTGTCAGGCATGGCTGCCTCCCTAATTGTAGCGCTGTAGGGAAACACGTGCCTTTGTGAACATTATCTGATTCCTACAGGACTTTCAGGAGTGCTTTGTATACTGACCCCTAACAAACACAAATAAGATCTTCTCAATTCCTTTTGCAGGCTGATATCAGCCTCAGGCTTCAGTTCAGCCAGGCGACCCCGAATACTCGTGTGTCAGCCTCAGCCTCTGATTTTTCTTTCTTCCTTTTCTAGACCTACAGTGTTATTTATTCATTTCTTTTGCCCAGTCCTTCAGAGGTTGAAGATGGAGGATAGGGAAGGAGCAAGAGCTATAGAAGTCAGAGGGGAGAAGAGGCGAGACAAACAGCTGCTCTTGTCAGCATGGGGATAAGTGTGGATAGATTGATAGCAATCTGCAGAGCAAATGGGGAGGTGGCATTCGCGGGGAATGTGAACGCATGAATGTAATGGAATGGGCATGCGACTGTTAAGGTTTAGACAGATGCTCTCTCTGGACTGAATGGAATGGTCGAGTCAGTTTCTTCTCCCCATGGGGCAGAATGAATGCTGGGTAACTTTATTAAAGTTTAAATATAAAACAAAGGAGGAGGCAACAATGCTTGATAAGCAATGTACTCATTACCTTGCTCACGTCATTGTAATCCCTCTGTATGGTATTTTCACAATAAAAAAAAGTTTAAATATTTAAAAGGCACAAGCCCTAATTTCTTTGTGAAGTTATTTCTTTTCTTTCCCCCCTACTGTTCTTTAGCTTGGGTCTCTGACTTAATTGAAAAGCCTTGTTTTCTTTGTAAGATACGCACTCCGACATATGTACCTTCCTCTTGCTCTTGATTAGCTTAAGGAGAAAATGAGATTTCCCTGTCTCAGAAGGGTTCACAAAAGGAAACTACCACAGGCTGCTTTTCCCTTTTGAAAACGTGTTCATTTTGACTCAGGTTTCAGGATGGACTGCAGGCTTTTGACAGTTATGAGGTTCTGAACAGAGTTCTGAGCATATGTACATGTAAACACACACACACATACACATGAAGCAGTTTTACATTTTCTTCTCTGCTTATTAGCCAATGCTTGGACAAATTATTTTCCCTCTCTGATATTAATGTGATAATGTTGGTTTGCAGGTAAAATGCGAAGAATTTAATCCATTCCTTCCATCAACACTTTCCTGAGTATGTATTTATGCTCATGTTCACACACATTGAGGAGATAAAAGCTTCTCCCAGCATAGCTACATGAGCTGAAACTCTTCTGAGTTCTATCAAGAGCAGAATTTTATCCATAGCTACTTGATGTTTTGTTGACTTTCACGTTCTATACTCTGAAGTGAATGTTGCCACTGAAAATGAAACAAAAACATATTTAAAAGATAAATTAGTAAGTTATCTATTAAAATATATAGTTGAAATCAGACAGAGTGATGGAGATACTAACTGGAGAGTCCCAGTCAGGGAAGCACTTCACTCCAGTAGTTAAAGAACAGCTTGGGCAATATAGGAAGATCTGCATCTCAGAATATGACTAGATCAACAAGAGAAAATAAATCAATACACAAAATAAAATTGTATTTTTCGGCTTCCCTAACCCTGTTGCCCATTTGCGTGAATCTTTGTGAAATTCGTTCCTAGCATTGGATTGGATGGGATGGGCTGGGGGTGAGTACAATGCATAATGTAGGACAACAGAATTTAGAATTAAAACAAAGGAAATTTGAAAATCATCTGATTTTTGTCCCACATATGCAAAAATTTTGATGTGTAAACTCCCTTCAATTGATCAAGTTGGTCCTTTTCAGTGTGAATACTATAAATATTCTTCCTCTTACAAAGGAATAAAGCAAAGTATGTCTTCATTATAAAATACTTCTAGATGAGGCTAAATGGCTCTGGTCTGTTAACTCTGTTATTCAGGAGACTGAGGTTTGAGGGTCACAGTTCAAAATCAGCTCAGGCAGACAAATCTGAGAGATTCTTACCTCTAAATAATCGGTTAAAATGTTGGAAATAAATGTGTGGATGCCAGCCTTGAGTGAAAACGCTAAACCAGGGTAGAAGGCCCTGAGTTCAAGCCCCAGCATCGGCACATACACAAACAATAATTCTATGCAGCTCTTGAGCACTGGACACATTCTGCCTAGCTAGAGTACTATATATTGTTTCACACATTCTTCAGGATACCAGTCACCAAGGTGATGTAATCTGTGAAGGTCATTCAAGGTCATTAGGGCTCAGACTTGATGTTTTCCAGTGAGTCACAAATGGTTGATTTTTTTTACTTTGTATATGAAGTTTTAGACTTGGAGTGGGTTTTGGGAATGTGCAGGCAACAAATAATGTCTTTTTTTTTTCTGGAGCTTCCATGACTAACGTTGGGGTTCTGGGTGTTCACGCAGCCACAGTACACGAACCTGGGGCTCCTGAACAGCATGGACCAGCAGATCCAGAATGGCTCCTCGTCCACCAGCCCCTACAACACAGACCATGCACAGAACAGCGTCACGGCGCCCTCGCCCTATGCGCAGCCCAGCTCCACCTTTGACGCCCTCTCTCCATCACCTGCCATTCCCTCCAACACAGACTACCCAGGCCCGCACAGCTTCGATGTGTCTTTCCAGCAGTCGAGTACCGCCAAGTCGGCCACCTGGACGGTAAGAGCACAGGATCCCCATGCCATCAAGCTTCACTTCCAACCATAAGGAAGGTGCTCATCACCTGGCAGGGTGATTCCTCTGCCAAAGTTAGAGCGTGTTTGTTTTCTGATTGGAAACTTTTGTTGTTTTGGATATTTAATGCTTAAAACAGAGAAAAAGAAAGACCGGGTGCCATTTAACAAGGAAAGTCACATTTGGACCCAAATGCCCCTCTCCATTCCATACAGGTCCTATTCACTGCAATCTTTGTGACATTCTTGCTTTGTGATGTCTTTTATTTTTTGAGAATTTCCAGCAAAACTATAAAACATTATGCCAGTAAGAAATATCATAATCATAGCCTAAAGATAGAATGTATGTTTACCAACTACAAAATTTCAAGGACTTTATATCTCTTTATGGTAAAGATGTAAATATTTTAGGAATTGATTTTTCAAAAATATGTTTCTTCTACTTCATAGTTTATTTTAGAATGTATAATAATATGAATAAAGCTCAGACGTGTAGGCGACACCTACAGAGATGTTGTTTACTAATTGGTCAAAGTATACTCCTGGCCCAAGTACTATTTATTAATTAATTTAATGTTTGCATGGATCACAGAAGTTCATCTAAATAACCCTCACCACGTCAAAAAAAAAGTAGCTTCAGTATTTCCTGAAGTTCTTTTCTCTCCTGATTTCTCTCCTGATTCTCTGATAAACATTTCCATTCTTTACTTTACCTATAATATCTAGTGCACCATTGTCTTTTGTGCAACTGAAGAAGTTATTAGGTATCTGATTTGGTAACTCTACACTTGACATAATTTCATATCTGCCCACTGATTTTGACTTCATATCTTTATCAAATAGGCACACACATTTTGTTTTGTTTTGTTAACTCCTAATATGCCAGTGAGGAAGCCTGGAAAACTGGAGACTAAGTGACATGTGAAAGTTGCAGAGGCTCTATAAGAGCTAGATGAATTTCTGGTTCCTATCTTTCCTCAATGAACTATGTTCTTTTTTACTTTTTATATCATTTCCTGTCAGAATGTCCCCAAATTGTCTCAGAACCTGTTTTGTCATTGGACTTTGTTTTGTTATTTGAAAAGAGGTCATGTTATGATTCATATTTATACATAAAGTATAAACATTAGCTTAACTTTTTCTTCCTGGTGCCCTTTATCAATTATCCCATAATCCTTGCTACCATTTGCCTTTATAATCCTGGACATGGACCTGAAGGTGAGTAAACTTGAATTTATAGGCCTTCTAGAGTTGGTTGGTTGATCCAGGTGATATTTTTTTGGATGGGGGGAGAGTGGTCACCTAGAGCACCTTCACAAACACTAATCTTCAAGGTGAATAGTACATGTCATTCTGAGTTCAAGGTCCATTATAATATGAGTGAGCTTGTCTGAAGGAATGATTGTCTTGTGGAGGCAGCCAAATTAAAAAAAAAATCACTTTCCTTCTAAAATCATTTAAGAATTGAGGGGGTAGAGCTTGTCATACATTCACCAGGATGATCAGTTTTCTCCTTTCTTCTTCCTTTACCACCTCATCATCCAGAAATCCTAAGCTCTATTTGCAAATTCAGCACATTGAGAAACTATTCCCATTCAAAACCTCTGTTTCAGGGAAGTAGGATTTAGAAAAGAACTGATGTTGGTATAATACACTGTAAAATACTTTTTACATATAACAGCAGTACTGTCAGAACTCTGGGGAAAAAAAGTACAGGCACTTTAGGTGATGAGAAACGATTAGTGAGGGAGAGCCAGAAAACCTAGATTCTAGTGTGGTCATCTGAGTGACCTTAGTCAAATCACTTCACCTTTCTGGAATTCAGTAGGTGCCTCAGGCTAAGATAATGAAATCTACTTATTTTCTGAAGGCCAAGTGATAGCATTAATGATCTGTTTTAGAAGTAATTAGGTTCTTATTGAATATTTGGTCATATGGAATGAACTTCAATGGTTTTGCATGTCTTGAATTTCTGCTTCGTTGTCTATTGTCTTAACACATTTTACAGAATAACTATATTCTAAGTTTATTATATGACATATTTTTACAAACTTATCAGCAGGCTTATTTCAAATTTATTTTGCATTTCCTCTAAGTCTAGTGCCCTTGAACTCTGGTAGCTGCTCAGGTTACCTAAAAACTCACTGTATACATGGACACCTGTACCTTGGATATAGCAGCATCTAACTCTTTCAGACAAATTATGTATCCTTTCCTTTATGCAGAGGTATTGCTGCTTAAAAGGATTGGATCATATATTTATCTTAGTTGAACCAAATGGCCAAGTCTGTGAAGAAACTTTCAGCAGTAGTCACAAGGTTCATCATAAGCCAAAATGAGAGAGGAGCCCAAGGCCTCATATTCTAGGTATAACCCCCTACCATCCTATCTAGACTGTCTCTCGTTGTGATTGACAGAAAGAAGGTTGGAGGTCCAGTACTTCTCTGCACATTCTCAGGTTGGCCTTGAATAGTATAGAGCTGGTATCTTAGTGGCTAAGGGTATTTTGTGTGCCATTTTACACAGTACCAATTTCTTAGGCATATGCACTTAAAAACACTCACTCAAAATAAAATGCTTCCTTTGGAATTGCCCACAGACTGGTAGCTGGCTGAAGTTGCTATCATTAGTGAGATGCAATGCTTCTTGCATAGTCTTTCTGGTAAATCATTAATTGAAAAAAAAAGTTTTTAGAGCTCCTTTTATCATTTGTCATTCTCTGTGTTTTTTTTCCCTTAGAGTATTTCTGCTTTTCCTTTCAGGATTACTGTCAAAATATAACTAACATTTAAAGTAACTACACATTTTTCTTTGCTTTCTCTATTTCCTAAATAATCAATGTCATTATGATTCCACTTGTCTTAAAATATAATATTTATTTTAAACTTGTAATGAAAGCAAGTGGTGTCCTATCATTCTCTATTTTATATACATAGCACATGCCCAAGGTAATGTTCAAGATTTTTGTTTCAGATTTTCTTCTTTCCACAATTTAATTGATACTAATAATAAAAGCTTGCTATTTAATGTGTTGCATTACTGGTCTCGTATGTTAGCTGAGGATATCAGTCATAGGATAGTTGAAAGAATGGCAGTTTGTGAATGACATGAAACATGCATAGATTTCAGTTCTGAAGTTTACTAGCAGCATATACCCTTCAAGTCCAGACTCTCTCAAAGTTACTCTGTTCACCTACAAATGGAGTTGTCATTACTTCATTGTCACATAATAATAACAGAGTAAATATAACTTCAGTACCTGGTTAGTGTTAGGCAAACAAATGCTTAGTGAGTTTTAATTTGAATCCTTTTGTCAGGAGAGTTTAAAATAATTTTCTTGAGGGTTCAATTTGAAAAGCAGACAATAATTTGAATGAATAAAAAGTGTTTATTATGTTTTTTTTTCCTTAATGTTTTAGGGCTCTTAGAATGCATATTACAAGCCAGGTGCTGGTGGCTCATGCTTATAATCCTAATTACCCAGGTGGTTGAGGATAAGGGTTCAAAACCAGCCTGAGCAGGCAAGTCCATAAGACTTTTGTCTCTCATTAATGAACAAAAAGCTAGAAATGAAGTATGCCTCAAGTAGTAGAGTGCCAGCCTTGAACAGAAAAGCTGAGAGAGTGTTCTGCCCTGAGTTCAAGTCCCAGTACCAACACAAACTAAAAAGAAAATAATAGCAACCAAAAAATGAATCCTAGAGCCTAAAAGGACTGCAGGTAATATTAACCACTATCAAATAGATGAATAGATGGCAGAAGACAGTAAGAGGCTCTCCTAGATGCCGATCCAGAGAGTGCTGCCCTACTTACTACCTTCCCAAGCAGATGCAAGCTCACCTTCCCAGCACAAGGAAGGATCCTTTCTGGATTTAAAGTATGCTGACCTGGGCTGGCAGAGCTCCAGTTGAACAACCTGTCGACTAAATGCATTTACTCACCTTGTTGTTTTTTGTTGTTTGTTTGTTTTTTTTTGGTTGTGGGGCTTGAACGTTGGGCCTGAGCACTGTCCCTCAGCTCTTCAGCTCAAGGCAAGCACTCTACCACTTGAGCCACAGAGCCACTTCCGGTTTTCTGGTGGTTAATTGGAGATAAGAGTCTCGTGGACTTTCCTGCCCGACTTTCTTGCCTGGGCTGTCTTTGAACCATGATCCTCAGATCTCAGCCTCCTGAGTAGCTAAGATTACAGGCCTGAGCCAACATCGCCAGGCAACTTAAGAATCTTAAGCTTAGCCACATTTAACTAGGATCCAGCACAGCATCAGATGTAGGATAAGACCTTTAAGACTTACTCAGAAGTTTTTTTTCCCCCTTACTCATGGTTAAAAGAAACAATTCTAATTTCAAGCAGTACCCTTCAGTGCTGATCCTGATTGTTAAGTATCTATGGTTTGGTCCCTTTGGGCAGAGTGGCCCAGGAATTTTGGAGAACATTTTTTCTTCTCGTTGCTTAATCATGCCAGGCTCCTATAACATTTAGAGCTTTGAAGAATTTGACTTGAGCTCCTGGAGAGATTAAGGAGGTGTCTTTTGAAATGGGAACAGCCAGTTCCCGGGAGAGTTCCATTGATCCCAGCGTATCAGTCTTGGTCTCCATCTGGCAAGCTGGCTCTTCTTGGCTCTACAGGCAGGCAGGCTGAGATGTGCGTCTGGGGCCCACCCTGCCTGTCATCAGGTTACCTGTAATGTAAGACTTTCAGAAAACGGCTGCCAGCTCTGCAGAAATCAAATGTAAGCCAGACCATTGCATGGCCCTCTGGAATGTAGAGACTCTTAAGAATAGCTATCAAAGGACATGATGTCCAGACAAACTTCGAGGTTGGATAGGATTTATCAGCTGGCTTCACAGGGCAAATATTTTTGGGCTAGAGTGTAACTCAGTGATAGAATATAAGCTCAGCATGCACAAGGTTCTAGTGTGATCTATAGCACATACATACCCACACTGGTACACTTTACCCTTTAAAATTGGTAAGCCTTAATTTGG